AAATAAAAAAAATACAAGGTCTCAATCAATTTAGAAGTTATTAATTAAGCAAAAAATAACTTTTATAAATGAAAACTAAAGAAAAACATTTTCAGAGAAAAGACTCACCATTAGGAACTGCATACAGGATGTACTAAAGAACATTTTTCATGCTAAAAGGAAATGACACCAGATGGCTGAGCATCTCTTCAAATGTTTATTGGCCATTGAATTTGCTCATTCGTGAATTGACAGTTTACATTAATTTATATTTTCCTAATTACTAATAAGATTGAGCATTTTTTCACGTTTATTGTCCAGTGAATTTGCTCTTTTGTGATTTGTTAATTCATATCATTTAGCCAGTCTTCTATTAAATTCATTTTTCTTAGCAATTTGTAAAAGCTTTCTTTAGACTCTATAAATACAAACCTTTTAACTGTAATGCAGTTGATTTGCCTTTAAACTGTTTGACATCTTTTGCCAGAAATGTTTAATCTTTCATAGTCAAAGATACCTATATATTCCTTGTTATTTTCTGGGTATCCTGTCTTAAAAGGAGTATCATGGACCCCTAAAATGAGCGCAGATATACACATGACCATAGAATACTAAAATGTCTTACTGTTTTTTCTTTCAAAATTAATGGCTCAAAATTTCTTTCTTGTGCTTTCTCATTAATCCATCTGTTTTTCTTGTTTGCTTTTTGTTTTTAAAATATATTTGTTGTAAGGATGAGGTGCAAATGAATACTTCTTGTCCTTTTTATACCATTGGGCTAAAAGCTGTGAGTCTATTCTCAGAATATTGTATAGACCCATTAAGTTTGCATACTGAGGTATACGGTCAGGTTTGTGGGATTTTGACTGTAGCCAGTGTGTATGCTTCTTGATTACATTTTGTGGAAATAATTCCTACTTAAATACCTTTCTTTGGCTTATCCATTAGGATGACATCAGAATTGTGACCCTTGTACACTATTGAATTTATTTCATTGTTGCCTAGATACAGAACCCTCATGTAGTTAGTGTACTTTAAAAATAGAGAAGGCTATGTATGTAAGGTAGGCTGAGAGCAAATTTATTATTGTATCAGACATTGCTGTCTGTCTGTTAGTCCTGGAACTTTCATTGTCGTTTAGTGTTCTTAGACACTGTATATTTATCTTGGTTGAATATTTAGTGCTTTAGTGACTGGAGGAGATTTCTGTTATCCCTTCCCTTCATCTTAACTATGTGACCAAAGTTACCGTGTTTCCTTTAATGTCTTTAGTCACTAGTATCTCAGACTCTAAATACTATGTTTATTCCAAAGTTAAATGAGCCTATCCTGTAATCCCAGCGACTTAGTAGGCTAAGATGGGAGGATCACTTGAGCTCAGGAGTTTGAGACCACTTGAGCAACATAACAAAACCTTGTCTTTATTTAAAAAAAAAAAGAAAAAAAGAAAAAGAAAAAAAAAGCCCATAGGATCCTTTTTTTTTTTTTTTTTTTTTTTTTTTTTTTTTTAACGTGATAAAACTTCTGTTTACCTTTGGCCAGCAAACTGATACATTGTTTTCTTATAGGCATTCACAGGAATACAACACTGTCTTAGCATTTTGGGGTCTATAAGTATGTGGAACTAGAGAAATAACAGATTTATGCCAGTTTTCTATTCATTTATTTAGTGTTTTTATTGCTCTTATGTTGATCAATTTTTGCCAAGGGAATGGAATTTGGCATTGCTGTATAAGAACACAGTCTTTGAGTTCGGACAAAACTGGATTTGTATCCTTGCACCACTCACCCATTTTTAATTTCTCTGAGCTCTTGATTTTTTTTTTTTTTTTTTTTTTTGAGACAGAGTTTCGTTTTTGTTGCCCAGGCTGGTATTTAATGGTGTGGTCTCGGCTCACTGCAACCTCCACTTCGCGGGTGCAAACAATTCTCCTGCCTCAGCCTCCCAAGTAGCTAGGATTACAGGCACCCACTACCACACCCAGCTAATGTTTTGTATTTTTAGTACAGACGGGGTTTCACCATGTTGCCCAGGCTGCTCTTGAACTCCTGACCTCAGGTGATCCTCCCGCCTTGGCCTCTCAAAATGCTGGGATTACAGGCATGAGCCACCACGCCTGGCCTGAGCTCTTGATTTTTGTTTTAACTTTTAAACAAAATTAAACTGGACAATTAAACTGTAATCTTTTATGTGAAAAGTTGTTTTTGTGTTAAAAAAAGAAAAAACTTTTTAAAACTGAGTTTTAGTGGTTAGTAACAACCTACATACCAAATGAAATAGTTTTTCTAAGATTGTATTAACTTAGAGCTCTGCATTGTTCAACACAGATGACTAAATTGGTGAAATTCTGTTTCTCCTTGATTTCCGTTGACATTGTATATCCATGGTTTTTCTTCTTCCCTTCTTCCTCTCTGCCTTTAGTGATTCTGTTTTGACACTGTCTCCTGATACTCCTGGGCCTTTCCTCTCTAGGGACTCTTCATCAGCCCTGTATCTTGTCTTGATCATCCCTTGCACTTGGCTTTTGTTCATTCTGTACTTCTGAGTAGAATGACTTTTTGTACTCATTTAAATCCTGTCTCTCTTTCAGGAATATATCTTCTTGAGGCCTTTCTCAGCCTCTCCAGTGAAATTGAATCTTTTTTCTGAACAGCTATAGATTAAATGAAAAAATGTGTGTGAATAAATTTTTTAAAAATAACGTTACATATTTTTATTCGGTCAGCATTCAATACACAAGACATTGTTGATATTAAGTCACCTTCATACAGAACTCACATAAAGCCACCTCACATGGTATTTATTTTTTAGAGATTTAAAAAAAATGTTTTATTGAGGTATACTTAATATACAATAAACTGCATGTTTAAATTATCTAATTTGTTAAGATTTGGCGTACATACACACATGAAACTATGCCCACAGTCTAACATCTTCAAAAGTTTCTTTATGTTCTTATGTAGTCCTCTCTCCCATTCCTCCCCATCACAGCTACCACTGATTCTGTCATTATAGACTAATTTTTGTTTTCTAGGATTCTCTATGAATTGATTCATACCATGTTTTTCTTATCCTAGCTTCTTTCATTCTGCATAATTATTTTGAGATTAATTCACGTTGTTGCATACGTCAATAGTTTCTTTTTATGGCTAAACAGCATCCTGTCATGTGAATGTACTTCAGTTTGTTCACTACCTGTCAATGTACATTTGGGATTTTTTCCAATTTTTGCCTATTACAAATAATGCTGCCATGAACATTTGTGTACACAACTTTGTGTGGACATAGGCTTCATTTTTCTTAGGAAACTACTTAGGAGTGAAATGGGTGGGATCATATACGGTAGCTATATGCTCTTTTCAAAAACCGTCAAATTGTATTCTAAATTTTACATTCCTACCAACAGAAAACGAGAGCGTTAGTTGCTGTACGTCGTTGCTAATACTTGATATAGTTAGGCTTTTTAATTTTAGACATTCTAAAGATGGGAAGTGGAAGTTCATTGTGGCTCTAGTTGGCATAGTGTTTTAGCACAACTTGAAGGATAAAAGTTGAACATTTATCCTAGATGTTTTTGCCTTATTTCTTTAAACCTCCAAATTTGGAAAGTCTGAGTTCTGTTAGCAACTTTCTTCTTTGAAAATAAAAATACATTTAAAGTTTATGTCATGGTTTGCATGGCAGTTTAAACACACAGTGTACTCGTTGCCATTCAGGCACAGTATTTTGCTGCTAACACTTAAAGGAATCGGAAGTAGTGACAATAAAAGCAGCATCATTTCTCTTAAATAAATACCCTTAGAAATACTTATAACCTGTTTTGGCTTTTTGTTGTTGTTTGTGCTCTCTTTATCCGTTCTAATTATTTAAGAAAAAGCAAAATAATATTTTTAAAAACTGGTTTGCAACAAAGTTGTTTGTCTGTAGAGAGAAACATTCATAATTATGAAGGACAGAAGAATTTGAACAAATATTTTAAAAGAACTTTTTAATCAGATTTTTAGCTGCTAGATTACTTTTAAACAACAGTAGCTATAACCTGAGATTTGAAACTTCATTACGCAAAAAAACAGGAGAAAATTGTACACTCAAGTGCTGTTTTATATCAAATGAGGATTGACAATAGTGTTTTTATGCATCTGTTCTGCCCACATAAGAAGCCAGCTTCATCATCTGGATGTGTCCTGGGGCTGAAACTTTTTATAAATATGAGAATTTCACTTTTTTTAAATGGCAAGCAGAATATGGTGTCCAGCTGTGGATTTGCTTATATATTGTGTTTGCATTTTTTCTTCCTGGGCTTGTTTTATACAGTATATGGCACTACATTGTCATACAGATTTCATGATTAATGCTTATTTATGAAATCTTGCATAAATATCTTAGGACTCAGTCAAACAATGTGCAAGTTAAACAGTTTTTCTCTGAATATTGGAATGACATATCCTTTGGGAATAGTAAGTTGGATATGTTCTTTATCTATTAAAAAAAGTCTCATATGTAACATTTGCCTTTTACTATTTGATGTTATATCATTCTTTTTCAATTGTTTTGTAGGACAAGAAATCCAGTTTCAGATTTATTCCTGGGAAACACAGAGAAAATTTAGATGTGGAAATTATTTAGAAATAAGGATGGTAGCTGTTTTGTATTACATTAAATAATTACATTTACTAGAATGCCTTTTTTTAAAAATTTTGATTCTGTCCTCTGGTCGAGAGGCATTTATATGTGTTCTATTATTTATATATTGAAATAAATCTACTGTTTGCTAATAAGCTGTGCTTACATTACTGTAGTTTTAATCCACGGGAATGCTAGGTTGATTATTAAATATCACCATGTGAGTGTGAAGCAAATTTCAAGTGGAAGTTAATAGTAATCAGTGATGCATTGGTAGAGTTTTGTTTTATAAATTTTATTTCTCTGGAATAGTTAATTTTCTCATATTATTATTTTAGTGGTTTGAAACTGGAAGTTGATAGACTTGTTTTCTCTTCTTTTTTTCTTATGCTCTCAGGTCCAGCTTTTCTATGAACTAACTGATACCATGAATAAGGTCTGGAATAAGATTCAGAAGAGAGGCAATCTCAACCTATCTACAACCTCTCCAGAGACCATGGCAGGGCCTGTTCCTACTTCTCCAGTTAGAAGCAGTATAGGCACGGCTCCTCCAGATACCAGCACATGCAGCCCATCTGCTGACATTGGGACTACTACTGAGGTAAGTGTTTTTGAAAATCCTGTTACAAAATGAAGGTTAATATATAACACAGATTTCCAGATCATGGTTTAAAATGAAGATAACCTCACTACTGTGAAAACTGATAGATTCTGAAGGTTCAAGAGGAGCTGTGGCAGCAGTGACTGTATATTCCTTTCAGGTACAAGAATTTTTTTTTGAATCACTTTCAGCAGCTTCTGGGGTAGTTCAGAATAGTGCCGGCTCTGTGAAGTGGTGAAAACTGAGACACAGTAAAGGTATGTTTCTTCAGAAGTATGGAAATGTAGAAACTGAGTGAAAAAGAGACTCATGCTTCCCCTCTCCCTACCTCTGTTCCTCTACACCTTTTTTGAACCAGGTGACTATTATTATCTAGTCACCTGGTTTAGATTAGTGGTTTTCGACCCTGTCAGACCCAGTGCCCTCTCCTCTTCCTCCCAATTGTAAAAGCTTTTCTTTTGCTTTTTAACATCCTAACCTAGCATGCCAGTACCTCTTTTGTATAAGAAATATTTTATAATGCCTCCTTTACCATCCTGAAATGAAAATAAAAAACATAACCAGAAATGAAAATGAAAAATAATGTAACTTACATATACATATAATTTCAAAAATATATAATGTCTTAAATTGTAAAGCATACATAAAAGGAAAGTAATTAATATATAGTAATATGTACTTCAATATGTAAATGCCTGGGCATGACTATATTAGAAGACATAATGGAACAGTCACGTGCAATTACTGTAATTATGATGGCTGTAAATAGACTTGTACAGGTCTATATTTAACACCACAAGTGGTATTGCTGTTGGTGACATGATTTTCTAAACTAGTGAAAAACTCTTGGTAAAGTTTCAAACAAAACATAGTTCAATCTTTCATTATAGTAGTTAAATTTTGGAATATCTAATGTATATTAAAATCATGCAAAAATGAAGAAAAATATGTTTAGCTTTAAAACACTTTATAAACAGGGTTTTCACCTATATGAATATATATGAGACAGCCTTCATTTTTCAGGACTGCCCTATTCTACATAGGATCTCTTGAACCCCTAACTCCTAACCCTTAAATGCCAATAATGATACACAAACATTGAGTCAACCAAAAATACCCCCATTCATTTCCAAAACATTGCTTAGAGGACAGAACTTTCTCCAACGAGAACTACTGTTCTATGGTAGATGGAGGTAGAAGTTAGGTTTTTTTGTTTCTGCATAAAGACAACATTTCCTCTGGAAATAAAGCTATTGGCAAAATACAGAATGCGGTAAGAATCAAGTAAAGGGGATGTTAATTTCTTTCATCTTACAAATCAGTAAAAGCAAACAAACTCAGTTTAAAGGGCAAATTTCAGCTGCTATAAGGCATTTAACACTTTAGAGTACATCTATTTAACCCCCTGTACAAGCAACTTTGCTATCTTGCCCATTCCAAATCTTAAGAATCACAGTAACCCAGGTGATAAGATTATTCTTTCTCTTTTTTCTTTTTTCTTCCCAAATGAGGAAGAGATAGGAAGTCTAGAAATGAGCCCATATCGAGTTAATGGGACATATCCTTTCTAGAGTAAAAGCAATGAATTCTTTCTTGAAGATTTCCAATGTTATTAGCATACAAAATCTTTTAGAATTCCTTCAGTAAAAAAGCTATTGAATACAGCAGTTTCCAAACTTATTTAACCAAAAGCTCATCTTTCTCAGTTTGCCTATTAATGCTTTAGTCCAATATCAATTTGAAATCCACTTGGGAAGATTGTTTGCTGAGAAGTACCTTAAAATAATTTAGCTGATTTGTTTTTCATAAAGGGCAGGACGATTTTTATGAAGATGGTTATTCACTATTATGAAGATGGTTATTCACTCTTCGCTACTGAATGAAAACAATGACTATATTTTCTTATGTTATCATTTATTGGCTAATTTTGAAAGAGGTCAATTTAAACCCAGATGCACACATAGTTAATCTACCTATAAATATTTTTTGAGAGCAAGAATAGAAATTAAACATGAAATATTCAATAGACAGACACCTCCTTATAGATTGCAAGGTAAAGTTAGATCAATGCCTTAAAATTGATCATCATATCATAACCATTTGGGTGACAGAGTAAGACTCTGTCCTGTCTCAAAAAAAAAAAAAAAAAACTAGAGATAATGCTTGTAAAGTACTTAGTTTAGTGAATAGTCCAAAAGGGAAAGCTAATACAAATCTCCTTCATAAGATTTTTGCATTAGGCCATGAGTATAGGCAAATTTCTATATACACGGTACCATTTAAACATTTTCAATTTAGTGAGTCTTCATTTTATGTTTCCAGCTCTTGTGAAGTCACGAACAACACTAGGATTTACTCACAACAGAGCAGGCAAGTTGTCAGTCCGCGATATGCTTTGTGTAACTCGTTAACAGATTTTTGAAACCCTATTAGGGTTAGCTAATTTTGTCATTTCAATTTAACTTTTAATTTTCTCCTTAGCCCTGGGCAGAAGAAGATTCTGCCACACTAATCAAATGCTGTACCATAGTAGCCCTATGCTGTTATTTGTTATATCATTTTGTTATAACGAAGGAGGAAGGAGCTATAATTATAAAATTATTTCAGTGTAACCATGTTATTTAAATTCACTAACACCGTATTAATAAGGCAATAAAAATATTAAGAACGTATTTATGAAAGAGGAATTACAACTCAGAGCTTGCTAACCAGTGCGCTGAAATACCATGAGATGTGTCACAGCTATGCTGAGACATGGATTACCTTGGCCTTTAGAGTCTTTGGGTGGGTCCAGGGTGAATGAAGCTTTCAATGCCGTGGAGATTTTTCTGCTTACCACAGATACAAATAACATTTCCTACATATGCAATTATATGAAGAAGGTTGGGAAGTACTGCTATAACTTTCCACAACACATATATTCTATATTTAAATCCGTATACAGATAGTTCTGTTGTTGACATGATAGTATGGCTAATAGAAAATATTCTTATAATCAAAAGATTATCAAGACAATGGTTACCAGGAGGAGAGAAGGACTTCTAGAGCTTTCCAGGAATGCTATGTTCAAAGAAGCATATAAAGTCTTTTGAATAGATTAAAACAAACAAAAAAGTATATATATAGTCTCCCCTTCATATTGTTCATTATTTTATTTCTTAACATTTAAAAATAATTCCTTTATAGTCTTTTTAGATTTTCTTAACTCCATTTATTGGAGATGCCAAGTTTTTGTTAGTTATATCTGCTGACTCTCCCTTTTTCTGGTTCATTTTCTCATGTGGTTTGTAATATCTTATTGTGAACTCATCTTCAACAGTTTAATTTTTCTGTGTGATTCCTATGTGCCCTTTGTTGTAGAATTGTCCCTACAGAGCATTTTGACATTTGCTTTTGCCAGGGTGCTAGAGATTTCAGGGAACCCTCAGCAGTTTTTAGGTTCTTTATCAACAAGGGTTTGTCTTATCATCTAAGTAGTACACATGACATCCCACACAAGCAAATAATAGCAATTAGTTTCTCATAATTTATTTTTTATTTTATTTATTTATTTTTTTGAGATAGAGTTTCACTCTTGTTGTCCAGGCTGGAGTGCAGTGGTGTGATCTCGGCTCAGTGCAACCTCTGCCTTCCGGTTTCAAGCCTCAGCCTCGTGAGTAGCTGGGATTACAGGCACCTGCCACCACGCCCGGCTGATTTTTGTATTTTTACTAGAGATGGGGTTTCACCATGTTGGCCAGGCTGATCTGGAACTCCAGACCTCAGGTGTTCGGCCTCCCAAAGTGCTGGGATTACAGGCGTGAACCATCCTGCTCAGCCACGAATGACTTTATCATGCCCCTACTTTCACCTCTCCTCTGTCCTAGGAATCTGAAAAACATTCATGGCATTTCTTAGCCTGCTGAAGCCTAGTGTCTAGTGTATCTTTTGCTTAAAAAGCAGCTCTGTTTCCTTCCAGGCTTTATGCAAAGAACTCCCCAGTTCAGGCTCTAGACCACGTCTGCAGTCCCTGAATGAGTGTTAAAACACCATTGCTCAACCCCTCCACCCTTATCTGAGTTTGACACTTCTATATACCACCAAGGACTGTTTCCACTTGTTACCCTGACTTTGTGTTGCCTCTTCATTTCTGACACCATAGTGTTTGTCTTTATTTCAAGTTTTGCTATCGTATTAGAAAAAGATGGTAGTCTGAAATTGGACAGTTTAAGAGAATTTAGTAAAAGGACAAAGATGTTAACTGGGAAGGGAAATCTCAGTTAACAGGAGACGATTGAGTACCCTGGAGCAGTTGTTGACACCAGTGGGCTTAAAGGGCAGGAAAGAGAGTTTATCAGAACAGGGAATAAATACCCAGACTTCATTCTCCACTTCTGTCTCCACTATTTCTCATTGACTGAAACCAAGAAAAAAACAAAAACAAAAACAAAAAAAACCAAAAAAACAGAGGACCAGGAAATCTATTCGTATTGTTCATATAGATTAACTTCCCAAGCACACAGGATAGTGAAGTGTAGAGAGTAGATCTAGAGGGCCAAAGAAAAGATATGTAGCACTTTTCGGTATTAAATTCACCTGACATTTTATCCAGAATATCTGTGCTGTGGTAGTACAAATGGTAAATGTTCATTTCAGCTTAGTCTCCATATTGCTGGTGTTAAAATTTCTTATTAAGAACTAGTCTTTTTATTTATGTATTTTTTTGAGACGGAGTCTCGCTCTGTCGCCCAGGCTGGAGTGCAGTGGCCGGATCTCAGCTCACTGCAAGCTCCGCCTCCCGGGTTTACGCCATTCTCCCACCTCAGCCTCCCAAGTAGCTGGGACTACAGGTGCCCGCCACCTCGCCCGGCTAGTTTTTTGTATTTTTAAATAGAGGTGGGGTTTCACCATATTAGCCAGGATGGTCTCAATCTCCTGACCTCGGGATCCGCCCGTCTCGGCCTCCCAAAGTGCTGGGATTACAGGCTTGAGCCACCAAGCCCGGCCTAAGAACTAGTCTT